TGAGATGGGCCTATGGATCTCTTCATCAGATCCTGTTGAACAAAATTATGGGAAACAAAATTCGAGTTAAATGAAGGAAAAGGCAGTGTATGCCTTCGCATTGCAAGAACAAAAATTGGGAAGAAGAGATCAGGAAATCGCCATCATAGAAGCTCGAAGAGGGTCTAATTTGCAGTTGTGATTCTCCCTTTGTGCATACAGATCGTCAGCTAAACATCATTCTGTCCTGACCGATTCCTCCTGAGCTTTCGTCTTCTCCATCTTGACAGATATCGTCAGGTCTAAAAACCTGTTACGTAACAACACTTTATAAAACCCTTTATACTTTTCATATAATATTGGGTGAAATTTTATTAGAACAGATTTCTGCTCCGATGACGTCTGTCACGACATGAAAGAACAAAACAAAATCAAAGAAAAATTTGCTTCAATGAACAGCCCCAGCTGCCCCAACGTCCTACTTGACTTCATTAGGAAACCAAATTGTAAGTCCCTTACGCGAAAATTTTCCAAATTCATTTTACATTTTTGCGGAACTTACCAAGACATCACACGGACTCCATCAGCCTCGCGTTCCACCAAGTATCCACCAATCGCATTCCTCAGTCGTGCCCAAACAAAAGGTGGCGATCTAACTTGTGGAGGCAGATGATGCTGGAAGATGTCTCGTAGCACTTCGTCGTCCAAAGAGAGCATATCCTCCAGTTCACCTTCACTCAGACCATTTCGAGAGGCAGTGATATAGGAGAGGGCATGGGACACCTACAGTGGTGTGTAGAGATGAGCGAAAAAACTCTTTTTAACGTCTATTTTGCTCTGAAGGGACGGGATTTTTTCTATTTTCTACAAATGACCGCCTATTACTGGCCATGGGCGAGCTCGCAACGACTCTGCCTATTCAAACACTCCGACTGATTGTCTTAGTTTCAAAAACCACTCAATGTACGAATTCCATTCCGTGACAAACGGGATAATTTAGAGGCTTCATCTGGCATCTTCAAGACAAACGACTAAACTGAGAAAAGTAGAAGAATGGGCAGCAAAAGTGAATACTCGGAAAAATGAATGTATCAGGTGTCCTGAATGAGCTCGGATACAACGTCTCGAAGGGCCTTTTTATCTCAAGATTATTCGTATCCTACGACAAGCTTGAGGAAATCTGTGCAGGTGTTGCAGGAGTTGATGGCGATTAATTAAGAGACGAATTTAAAGAAAGTTTCAAGTTTTTAGTGAAACTCCCAACATACCGCTCTTGGCAAACTGGAGTATTTCCTCGGCATCCACAGTGAGACTCGAACCCTACACTGGCCTTTTAGGCTGCATGATGCTGCGGATTTAATGGAGGAATTCGAGTTGCTTCTTCCACTCAGTGAGGCTATGTTCACCTTCTACCTCGGCCTGACAACCGTCAATTATTGGATAGGTTGGAAACAATACATGTTACTCTGTCTTATGAGGATGGGGCACACGAACACGTCACTGGATTTGCTTGTGACGCGTACGCTTTTCGATTTGGTCATGTGAAGAAGCAAGTTCTAAAGAAGTTGTATTTGGAAAGTTTTGAGAAAATAAAATTTGTTATTTTTTTCCAGATTCCCTTCATGCTGTGGGGAACTGCGTCAAAAACTGGGTAACATTATGCCATGCTGACGAGCTCGCATCACCTTAAAACAACCACTGAAGTTCGCTTAACATCCTCGGATTTACTAACTTCTTCATTTATCCCCCTTTTTTTGCAAAATTTAAAGTTAATAGGTCGCAAAAAATAAAAGTGATTCTGGCTTAAAGGAGAAAATCCAGGCCACTGCTGAGGCCGCTTAGATTTCAGGGCAACTTGACTCCGCAGTGTATCCACCTGCTTAATCTGAATATAAGTAATCTTATCCCTATTTGCAGAGTTTGTGTCACTTCTTGGCATACTTCGAAAATTACGGTAGATCTTGCTTAGACTTCGAGTTAGCCTAGGCGATTCAAGAAGTAAGGATTGAGAGTTGAAATTACCACAATGAAATTAGTAGTCACGATGACAAATCTATGCAATAGTACCAACTTGAATCTTGCATAAAAGAGTGTGGAGAAGAGATGCACAGGCTGACCTCATCATAGGCTGATGGGTGATTCTTCAAGACTGGCAATGAGTGGGGAAAATTATCCGGCCCATTGGTGAATTAAGGGCATCCAGCGCACATAAATGAGTACTGATTTAAAATGAATCGGTGGATCTACTTTTATTCACTTCAATCGTTATGTCTGTTTGTCTGTCTGTCTTTCTGGAAATCTGTTTCATTTGGTTCTCTATCATTTCGAGTAAAGATATGTGATAGAGAGGTTTTTAGATTAATTTCACCAAAATACAAAGACAAATTCCTCTTGACTAGCTGTCTTTCAGCTTCACTGGCAAGTTGTGGACAAAGCAATTCCGGAGAAAGTTTCTTTCAATTTTGATGAAAATGAATCAAGCTTTTGTCTTTTATATTA